TGCTGGCGCGTCTGACCCGCCGCCTGTCGCTGCAGGGCGAGCCGGCGCTGATGGAGGGAATCTTGCTGGGTGAACCCGTAAGTTGGCCCTCTCCATCTCTTCCCCTCGCCGTTCCTCTGCCTTCTGCTTTGCCAAGCAGGCCCTAACGCTGCTCTCCCTCCCTGGCAGGGCTCCAAGGGTGACCGGGGCTTGCCTGGCCCCAAGGGAGAGAAGGTGAGGAACGGCCCCGGGTGGCTGGTGGGAAGGGGCCGTGGGGGTGCTGGGCTGGCCCGCTGCCTCCCCGCGGCCTGGCCCAGTCTGCTCCCCTCCGCGAGTCATGCACCTCTGCTGTTTGCTTGTTTCCCCTGGCTAGGGGGAGCCTGGAAGATTTGGGGAGCCTGGAGATCCCGGGGAAGACGTGAGTAGGAGGCTAGCGGGGATGCTTGGGTGGGTTGATGCCATCCGGGAGGGTCGGGCCCGCTCCGGCTCCTCACGCTGGGGCAGCAAGGCAGCATCATCGCCTGCTGGGAGCCCTGTGCCTCCTCTGCGGAGCTGTTTGGAGCGCGTGTGCCCAGCGTGGGCACCCCTACCCCGTGTACCAGCTGCCTGCCTCATGGCTCGGTGTCTCCACAGGGAGCCAAAGGATCGTCCGGAGCCAAGGGGGAAAAGGTAAGTGCCCTCTTGTCCTAGGGGGACAGGGTGTCCCCCAGGCTGTGGGGCAGCTCTGGGGGGCACAGTGCCCCTGAGGCCCCCAGGACGCCTTTTCTGTGCCCGCCATGCGGGTGACCGTCTACGTGTGCTCTGCCCACATCTGCAGGGCTCTCCTGGTGTCGGCGTGCGGGGACCTCCAGGACAGGACGGACCTCCTGGCTTGAAGGTGATCTCTGCCGCTGCGTCGCTGCGGCTCTGGCCGTGTCCCCGGACGCCTGGGTTCTGTCCCGCTTGGCTGACCAGGGAGAAACACGCTCCCAGGGTCTCCCTAGCGGCTATTTCCCTGGGCCCATCTTTTCCCTCTCTGCTCCAGGGTGACACTGGCTTGCCAGGCCCACCAGGACCCCCGGGCTTGGCAGGTGTCGCAGGGACCCCG